TATTGATGTCTAGTTTCATACCATTATGATTAGAAAAAATACTTGATATGATTTCATTTCTCCTAAATTTGTTCAGCCTTGGGTTTGCGACCTAACATATGACATATCCTGAAGCAAGATATGTGTGCACTTGAGAAGACGTGTATTCCCTTGCTATTGGATAAAATATGCTGTATATGTCTGTTGGGTCCATTTGGTCTAAAATGTAGTTCAAGTTTAGTGTTTCCTTATTAACTGTCTATCTGGATGATCTGCCATTGTTGAAAGTGAGATATTGAAGTCCCCTACTATTACTGCATTGTAAGTTATTTCTCTCTTTAAATTCTTTAATATTTGCTTTACTTATTTAGGTGTTCTGATGTTGGGTACAGATATATTTACAGTTGTTATATTCTCTTGATGAATTGACACCTGTATCATGATGACTTTCTTTGCCTTTTTTTATTGTTTTGAGCTTAAGTCTATTTTGTCTGATAGGTATAGCTAGCCCTGCCTCTCTCAGTTTCCATTTGCATGGAATGTCTTTCTTCATACTTTCATTTTTATTCTTTGTGTCCTTAGAAGTGAGTTGAGTCTCAGGCCGGGCGCGGTGGCTCACGCCTGTAATCCCCGCACTTTGGGAGGCCAAGGCAGGTGGATCACGAGGTCAGGAGATCGAGACCATCCTGGCTAACATGGTGAAACCCCATCTCTACTAAAAATACAAAAACTTAGCTGGGCATGGTGGCAGGCGCCTGTAGTCCCAACTACTTGGGAGGCTGGGGCGGGAGAATGGCGTGAACCCAGGAGGCAGAGCTTGCAGTGAGCCAAGATCGCGCCACTGCACTCCAGCCTGGGTGACAGAGCAAGACTCCATCTCAAAAAAAAAAAAGGGGGAGTTGAATCTCTTGTAGGCAGCACATAGCTGGGTCTTATTTTTAATACATTTAGCCATTTTGTCTTTTACTGGAGATCTTATTGCTCTTAAAATAGAAATAATTATCAATAGGTAAGGACTCAATAATACTAGTTTGTAGTTTGTTCTCTGATTGTTTTGTGGATGCTTTGTTTCCTTGTTCCTCTCTTGCTGTCCTCCTTTGTGGTCTGATTGTTTTCTGTAGTGGTATGCTTTGAATTCTTTCTATGTATGTTTTGTGCCTCTACTCTAGATTGTTGTTTTGTACTTACCATGAGGCTTCCAAAAACCGTATACTAGTAACAGAATATTTCAAGCTGATAACACCAAATTTTGATAACATACAGTAGTAACTCTACAGTTTTGTTCCCCTTCCCTACACATTTTAATATTTTGTTTTCAAAATATACATCATTTTGCAATTTGTATCCCTAATTTGGGCTATAATTTTTTTTCTTTCTTTTTTTTTTCTTTGAGACAGAGTCTTGTTCCGTCACCCAGGCTGGGGTGCAGTGGCACCATCTTGGCTCACTGCAACCTCCACCTCCCAGTTCAACCCAGCTCAAGCGATTCTCGTGATTCAGCCTCCTGAGTAGCTGGGACCACAGGTGTATACCACCATGCCTGGCTAATTTTTGTATTTTTGGTAAAGACCGGGTTTTGCCATGTTGGCCAGGCTGGTCTGGAACTTCTGGCCCCAAGTGATCCGCCCACCTCAGCCTCCCAAAGTACTGGGATTACAGGCATGAGCTACTGTGCCTGGCCTTGAGCTATAATTTTAATAGTTTTAAGATCATATTAGAGATAAAATTATTTTACAGACCACTATTACAGTTCTAGTTCTGAGTATGACTATATTATTTATAGCATTGATTTTTGTGTTTTCATATATTTTATTAATTAGCAGCCTTTTATATCAGCTTAGAGAACTCCATTTAGGTATTTCAATAGGCAGGCCTACTGCTAATGAACCTTATTAGCATTTGCTTGGGAACGTTTTTATTTCTCATTTCTGAAGGATAGCTTTTTTGGTTGAGCACTTTAAATATATCATCTCATTTTATCCTGCCCTACAGGGTTTTTGCTGAGAATCCTCTAGTAGCCGTATTGCAAGTTCCTTGTATGTGATAAGTTTCTTATTTCTTGCTTTCTTAATTTTTTTTGTCTTTGATTTTTGCCAGTTTATTATGTGTCTTGGTGAACTTCTCTTTGGGTTGAATTTTTTGTACAAGTCTACAGTTAAAACTTGCTATTTAATTTTTCAGTTCAGTTGTTGTCTCCATCTCCAGGATTTCTATTTGGTTTTTGTTATAGTTTCTATTTCTCATTTTGTTCATATATTGTGTTCCAGATCTCATTTAACTTTTTATTTATATATTCTTGTAGTTTGCTGAACTTCCTTAAGAGGATTGTTGTGCATTTTTTGTCAGTCATTCCACAGATGTCCATTTCTTTAGGGTCCATTATTAGAGCTTTATTAATTTCTTTTGGTGGCATCATTATTCCCCTAATTCTTCATAATCTCATGTCCTTGAATTGATGTCTGTGCATTTGAGGAGGCAGCCACCTCTTCCATCCTTTAGAGGTGTTCTTCAGCATAGATTGAATTTCATTATTTACTTTAGCCTGTGATTCTGGATGAGCCAACTGATATCAACCCCAGGGAGGCAGAGCTTGCTGTCAGTTTCTCTAGTTGGCTGGGTCTCTGCCTTTGTTCTGAGTTTGGATGGGGCTGCTGGCTGAACTTCACCTTCCAGCAAGACTACTGGCTGGCCTCTGCAATCAGGTGGAGCTGCTGGCGGGGAACTGTGATTGTTTCTGGTATCCGGCAGGGTCACAAAGTGTATTTCCCTGTTGGGGAGTATTGCTATTTGGGTTATGCAGTTGGGCAGGTCTGCAGGCTAGGCTCTAAGTTTAGATGGATCACTGTTCTAGACAGACAGGTCCAGAGGTTATGCTCCATAGTCCTTGCCTAGGCTGGACCATGGGATGGGCTCTGGCACTGGGTGGAGCAACTGTTTGGAGCTGCTCTTTGGACTTCAGGGTTTGGGCAAGTCTAGCCCCTGTTCTCTGCAAAAAATACACTGTGGTGGGCATCTCTTTTCCTGAGTAGGGCCTTGGGGTGGGCTCTGAGGCTGCGCATAGAGGCTAGTTTTCTAGGGACTCAAGCCAGGTTGAACTTCTTGTTCAGCTTCTGGGTGCAGCCAACTCAGCTTTGCATATAGGGTAGATCATTAACTGATCTCTCTGATCAGGTGCCACTGCTGGCAGGAACACAGAGCTACCACCCAGATCTGCACACTAGTCACTGCAAACTCCACCTTCTTGATTTGTTTGATACCACGGGATCTTGCCCTGCAGTTACTCCGGTATTCCTTTTGCGGCAAGGCAGTAGTGGGCTTCCTTCAAAGCACCTCAGAATGCTAGGGAAGCTAGATCTCTACTTTCAGTTCTCTTTTCCTCTGTAGAAAACATGGGCTTAGGAGAATCCTCCCTGTGACTCTTGTGCTGACTTGGAGGAGTGGGAGGAGTGATACGGTCAAGGTGACCTTGACCGCCAGAGACCTCTCCGCCACCAAACATTCCCATTCTTACCTTACCACTCTGTAGCTTGAGCTAGAGTTGACCACCATGTCCTTCTGTAAACTCATAAGCTGGGACTCAACACATTTTTACTGATGCTGAGCTCACATTTTATCAGCATGGTAGGCCCTGGGCCAGGAACTGAGGATACGAAGTAAGCCGAGATACAGCCCTGTCCTCTCAGAGCTTGCGTTACACCACAGCCATCTGTTTCTGTTCTAACTTCTCCAGCCATTTTTTTTTCTGCATCATTTGCTGAATTTTCTTCCATCCATTCCTTAAATGCTATCATTTCCCATATTTTGTTCTTCTCTGCAGCACTGAACACTGTGAAATTATTTGGGCCTTGCAGATTTTCAAGGCAGGTACATCACATTTTCAGTGTGGCCATAAGAAGACCTTAGTCATCTTCTCATGGAATGTCTGGTTTGGAGCTTTATGGCTTTCTGGTGATAGACAACATACATGACTGAAATCCTTCCCCAGTTGCTAAAGAAAATACAACATAATGTTATTTGATAGAGATAGATTTTTACTTGTAGAATAGTTAATTTAAAGCCATCTTTACTAATTCTGTATCTAATGAGAACCAGCTCTCTATTGAGAACATTCCTGACTCTTGACATAAGACCTTATCATTAGTGTAGGGAAGAAGTTCGCTTCTCTATTTTGTACAGGCCTTCATTCATAATTAGAGTAATTAAGTTGGGGTGAAGAAAGACCCCAGAATACAGTGCTCTTTTACATGGTTCAAAATCATTATCTGATCTGTCAAGAGATGTTGCTGCCATCTTACCACTTGGGATTCAATGTCCACAGCTCCGCTTCTAATCAGCTCTCATCCATAAGAGCTCAAAGCCAGTAACAGTTCAAATAATTCCCGCCAGCCTTTTGCACAAGGTGGTATGTAATTGGTAGCGGAATGGATTTGCCTGCCTGCTCCTTCTATAAAATGTGGACAGTGAAACCCAGACGTGTAATATAGTATAAGGGAGCCAGCATAAATTTTTGATGGAATGTTCAGCAAAGTAATAACTTTGTATATACAAAGACATATTTGCCTTTTTGAAAAGTTGTATAGAAAATGTTTGAGTGTACCCACATTTGATTATGGTTCAAAGAAGGATTCTATTTTAAATGAAAGCTAAAATGATTGACGAAGATAAGAACCTGTTAATAACAACTACTTGAAGGCTTTACTTTTGTTCTTTATTTGCTTTTAGCCTAGTAATTAGATGAACTTTATAAGGAGCATTTGCTGAGTCCAGTGGATGTCAGACTCACAAACCAATGAGCTGGGGGTCGAATAGGAGCTGAAGGATAGATGAGCCTGTGAGCATGTGGGCGTGTGGAGGCAGAGGCGCGTGTGTGTCTCAATGCTGAATAGGGTGGTTGAGCAGTGGAGGGCTCCTTCAGTAGCCAGTCCAGGAAAAATACTATTCTACAGGGAGAATGATTGTCCCACCAGATCACCTATTTCAATATTGAACAGTGTGAAATAACTTATGTTTTTCTCCTCTAGACCTCTGCTCTTCCAGGCAAGTGAACATGTAGCCAATAGTCCTGCACTGGGGGATGTGATTCCGTTCAGCATCATTATTCAGTTTTTGTTCACGAGAGCACCCACTGAGCTGAAATCTCCTTTCCAGGTAATAAAGTCAAGCCAGAACCATTTTGTGACTCTTCCCATTACCTATGTGAATCCTGAGCCCCTACTCACTGAATGATTCCTGGCCCTCTGCTGCTTTGTTTAGTTGTTGATGTCTGTCTTTGACAGTGAACAGATATTAGTAAAGGAAAACTCCCACTGCTCAGCATCTTCTTTCTCAGCAGTGCAAAAAATTACCTGATGCATCCAGAATTTACCTTTAATAATGACACAAGGCATTTGTGTTCATAAAGAATTTTTGATGGCAGCCCCATTTTCTTTGCCGACCCACCATCAACTGGCAAATCTAGAAGGCTCCTTGGCAGTCAGAAAGGTGCACCAAGGCCTGTGCCCCTTCCCACTTCCCTTGGGCAGGTTTCGAGGCAGTTTCACCTTGGGAATCCTTGAGAATGCTTTCTGAACCAGCACTTGCTGCCATTGACTAAAGAATGTGTATGCACTCTCTAATTGTGTTTCAACCCTGCAGAGGGCAGAGTGGTCCCATGCACGCTTCTCTCAGTGGCTGGATGACCATCCATCTGAAAAGGACAGGCTCCTCCTCATCAGGTAAAGCCAGGTGCTCCAGGGGCACCCATCTGGGCTGGAAGCCCAAGGAGGGTGGGGATGCAGGAGAGGATGAAGGAGCAGTGCCTGGGGTTGTGCACATGTGACTGCACCTTCCGGTGGCAGGCCACTTCACTGCCTAGGCACAGGTGCTGGAGCAGCCAGCAGTTGGAAATGTTGGCCACAACATCTTTTGCTTTCTTTCACTCCATACCTTCATATCCCTGATGTGCAATCCTGTGTCCCATGCAACCCTAAGGACCATGCATTTCTACCTTTGAAAATCATCATCTGCTAGGAAAAGTTTTGCCCTAGCTCCACATCTTTTACTTCATTTTCGTGTGCTGCAGTTACTGAATTGGTGGAACACAGATGTGAGTGAACTTTTAAAAATACCCAAGCGCGAAACAGTTCTGAGGAGGAAACAAGAACAACCCAGCAGCCACCTGGATACCATGGCCCTCTAGTAGTGCCCCATGAGTGCATTTACATACATATGCATGTGCCCTCAAACAGATGTGCACACACCCCCATGTACCCCAACCATGCCCAGGGTGGGTGCTTTAACTGTCATACATGGCTTATTAAGCAACACTCTTCCCTGCAATTGCTCTCACCGTCACCAGAGATCTCTCTGCCACCAAACATTCCCATTCTTACCACTCTGTAGCTTTAGCTAGAGTTGACCACCATGTCCTTCTGTAAACTCATAAGCTGGGACTCAACACATTTTTACTGATGCTGAGCTCACATTTTATCAGCATGGTAGACCCTGGGCCAGGAACTGAGGATATGAAGTAAGCCGAGATACGGCCCTGTCCTCTCAGAGCTTGCGTTACACCACAGCCATCTGTTTCTGTTCTAACTTCTCTGGCCATTTTTTTTTTCTGCATCATTTGCTGAATTATCTTCTTCTAGCTATTCCTTAAATGCTATCATTTCCCATATTTTGTTCTTCTCATCCTCCCTCTGCCTTGGTTCCCAGGTGAGCTTATCTAGACCCGTGCCTCCAGTGCCCCTTCTATACTTAAGAGCCCCCAGGTCTGTGGCTGCCTATTGATGGGCCCTTGGCCCAGTAAACTTGCTCTCATCTGTAACCACCCACAGAAATCTCAACTCCAAAATGGTCAAAATAATTCTATTCTCTCAAACCTTCTCGTTCTCTTATACTCCCTATCTTGGTTGGGAGGTCACAATCACCTAACTGGCCAAGCTGGAAAACCTTTACGCCATCATTCAACTCCTCAGTCATCCTTATTCCTCAAACTCACTCCTGTTGTGCCTCTAAATGCTCTTGAAGTCATTCTCAACTCTCCCAGGGGATCCCAATTCTGTCGGTCTGGGCCCAGGACACCCAGTAGCCCTCTGTTGGCCTCAGTGCCAGGTGATGAGTTGGGTTCCCTAAAGCCAGAGCGGGGCTGACATGAGGAGGCGGTTCTAAGCCACGTGTGTGTACAAGAGTAATTTCCTCAGCTGGCAAAATTCCCAGTGCCCAGGCCTCTCACCCGCGCCTACCTCAAAATCCCTGGGGTAGGCCTGGTATCAGGATTTCTTTATAGCTCCCCAAGAAGGTCCAGGGTGCAGCCAGTGGCGTAGGTCATATTTCAGTTAGGATGAAAGACTGCTGAGGAAGCTGCGACAGGTCAGTTGGAAAATCAGCCTGTCAGCTTTGTTTCCAGAAGTGACCCTGAGCCCTCAAGCTTGGTGCCCACATCCTACATGAGCCACTAGCCCTCTGGGCATATATGTGGATAAAGATTAGCTCGGACTCTGCTGTTTTTCCTTGCTTATCATTCAGCTATGAACATCTGACACAGAAATGGGAGAGGTTACCAGCCCCCCGGTGAATGCTCCTGGTAAAATCTGCCCTCGGGAAAGGCTTTGGATTTGAGTGAGGAGTTTGGGCCTGGGGCTAACACAGGAATTTGCAATGTCCGTGTGGATTATTTTTCCTGAGTCCCAAAGGTTCACTTAGCTGCAGCACACTTGGTAATCTTAAAAAGAGGATTCAGTAAATTGAACATGGTTCATTGTTCTCATCTTAACAAATTGGTCATTTTTGTCGTCTTAACAAGTTGGAATGAGTTCATCCAAAACAGTTGTCCTGCTGTGGGTGCATCACAAATCTGTTTTCTTTTGCTTCTCTTTAAAAATGTCTCCTGAGTGATTTCATCAGCAGTGCTGTTGCTAAGCCTATATTTAGCAACTGAAAATCATGCTCAGAAATACTGTCATGCTTTTTTAAAAAGGCATACCCATCCCTCCACACATGGCTGACTCCAGAACCTTCATGCCCTTAGCAAAAAATCGAGCTCTCCTTCAGGGATTCAAAAAAATACTCTTGCTGCACCCCAGGCTCTTGGCAATGAGGGGACTTTTGTCCTAGAGAATGTTCTTTCTTATGTATTATTGCAAAACGATTTTGTTCTTGCATACTGAAGCACCACTGGATGAATTTCTTTCCCCTGTAGACAAACTGAGGGTGAGTATTGCTCTTTAAATGTCAGTAAATTTGTTTTAGCTTCTGGGGCAAACCTTGTTGTATACTCATCCTGTTCCTCCCAGCGTAATGTGTTAGGTTGTCATAAAATAGGGCAAATTGAGGATAGTGTAACTGCTGCTGCTGAGCAAATGGCAAATAGTGAACTATCCTGCCTTCCTGTTTTCTTCTGACACCAGATGCTTTCTGGAGCTTAAATGAATAGTAGTCAGGTTCATTTGAAAATCAGAGTAATGACTTACTCATGGGACCAAGTGGTGTAAGTGGGGGCAGTTGTATGTGTTCAGCCCGCATCAGGCAGGTGCTCCAGACACATGTGCTCCCTCAGATGCAGAGGCAGCCACCTGACTTATCCCTGTGGGTCTGTAACTGTTGAATGTGTTTTCAATAAAGATAGAGTTTTTGATGCAAAGATTTCTTAAGCTCTGTAACAGTGGTGGGGTTGGCCTCAAATCCATTTACTCTGGATATTTGCCATGGAGAGCAACTCTTCTTCTTATGGCCCTCTTTGAGTAGAAGTCCACTTTTATGATGGCAAAAATGTTCACAGACATTATTAGCCTAGTGGTACTTTTATCTACACCATCAGAGAATGCTTGGTGCCATGTGCATCCTTGGATCTCTTGCCTTCTCACCGTGGTCCAGGGTCCACAGTCTGGAAGCCATTCCCTCAGCTCTTCTGTATTTCTGCAGAACTCCCAAGATCTCCATTGATGGAGGGTAATGTTTCTCCTCCGGGTACCCTTATGTCACTAGCTACCTATCAGTTCTGTGAACGGAGTACCTGAGATAGGACCAAGAGGGAGGACAGAACCAGGGAAAAGCCTGGGCTTAACTGCTTATTGAGGCATGTAGTGTATCTTTACGTCATCTACGCATTTCAGTACTTACTAATCACACTGAATATTTAAATGCCTGACAAAAATCAGTGTTGTTCTCCATGAAAACCTCCACTTGGCTAGTTTTTGTCACATTGAGCAGTGTTGCCATGTTACCACAAACCATTCCTCTACTAATCGTGTTTTGTTTTTTCCCCAATAAGGATAACCTCAATAATCTACTTATTTTGGTTACAAACCAGAGTTAAGACTGTTACATAATGCTTGGCCTGACTTCCAAGAAAGCTAATGTTTTGCTTAAGCAAATGAAGTAATTTAATAAGTACTCGAAAATCTTGCTCTAATTTCATGTGGGAGGGCAGCTTCATCTTTTTTTCCCCATACTTCTGATGGTGTTCTTGATGACTACCCAAAAGTCTAACCACTCATTTCTGATCTTTCTTCTACATATTGTGTAATTTATGTGATGTCTTATCCTTTTAAATGCCAATGAAACTACGTTGATTTTTGTACATCAAATATATCTAATCCATTCACTGTGAAATGATTATAGATCCTGTGAATATAAACACTTCTTAGACACTGATACATACATCTCACTGTCTTAAAGACGGATGAGCTCGCCTGTAATCCCAGCACTTTGGGAGGCCGAGACGGGCGGATCACGAGGTCAGATCAAGACCATCCTGGCTAACACGGTGAAACCCCGTCTCTACTAAAAAATACAAAAAACTAGCCGGGCGAGGTGGCGGGTGCCTGTAGTCCCAGCTACTAGGGAGGCTGAGGCAGAAGAATGGCGTGAACCCAGGAGGCGGAGCTTGCAGTGAGCTGAGATCTGGCCACTGCACTCCAGCCTGGGTGACAGAGCGAGACTCTGTCTCAAAAAAAAAAAAAGACGGATGAGCTCTTGCGGATTTCTTTACTGTATATGATTCTGTAGGGACTGCATTTAGGGAGTGGTGACAATTTCCAGGATGGCAAACCAACTAGAAGCATATTACTAAAAGCAGCAAGTTTTTTTCATAGACAAGTATCTCCATTAAGGGTCAGCTCTGAGTTGAACTAAGGCATCTCACAAAACATTGTTCTCTAAGAGCACTAAATTCCATCTTGCATGCCAGTTGAGAGTGGTATGTTAGCTAGGACTTGAAACTGGGTATGTGAGCTGAGTAATGGTATGAACTTACATCTTTTTTAAAACAGGTACACTTCTTCAGTAAGGGCTTGCCCAGCCCTCCACATACCTGATTTAAAGTACTCCTGCCCTGACCAGAGCATGGAGCCAGCCTTCAGGGATTCCAAAATGCCGGATCCTACTAAGTCAAGGCTGTTGATACAGAAGTTAGATAGTTTCACAAACCTGTGTGACTCCAAGGTGGTTTGCATTCTTTACTGCTGCCTGGAGTTAAGAAAGGCTTTTCTTAAAAGGGAGCATTTGAAGCTGAGTCCTAAGAGAGAAAGAGCTGCGCAAGAAAGCAAGCAAGGAAGGGTATTCTAAGGACAGGAAGATAATGTGCAAAGGGCTAAGAGAATGTGGCTCTTTAACTGAAACATTCAAGTATGGCCAAAGATAAACAGGCCCTTTGGCACACCCTACTTTATTAGGCAGAGACAGCTTTGTTTCAGTGTAATATATGAACAGATACCCTTGATCTTTCCCTAGGTGGGCAGTCAGGTTGGGCTATACAAATGGGGCAAACATGCTTTGCACATTAATTGGTAACACAAAAATGGAAACTAATGATTTGAGAATTTTAGGCCACATCAAGCTATCTAAAACCTAGCAGTAGCATAGAAAGGGCTGGGAGCAGCTTGATGAAGAAGCTGGTATTCAGTTGGGTTGAGTCTAGGAACTGACCAGAGCATGCAGCCAGCCTTCAGGGATTCCAAAATGCTGAACCCTGCTAAGTCAAGACTGTTGATACAGAAGTCAGACCTTTCCACATTCCCTATAAAGAATAGGGCATGGCGGCCGGGCGCGGTGGCTCAAGCCTGTAATCCCAGCACTTTGGGAGGCCGAGACGGGCGGATCACGAGGTCAGGAGATCGAGACTATCCTGGCTTATACGGTGAAACCCCGTCTCTACTACAAAATACAAAAAACTAGCCGGGCGAGGTGGCGGGTGCCTGTAGTCCCAGCTACTCGGGAGGCTGAGGCAGGAGAATGGCGTGAACCCGGGAGGCAGAGCTTGCAGTGAGCCGAGATCCGGCCACTGCACTCCAGCCTGGGCGACAGAGCAAGACTCTGTCTCAAAAAAAAAAAAAAAAAAAAAAGAATAGGGCATGGCAAGTGCTGTAATACTTCAGGGAGAGACCTCTTGCTATAATATGGAAGACTGACCAGAACAGGGGAGAAATAGCACCAGGATGATCACCACCTAAGAGGCTATAGCAATCATTAGGGCACAAGATAGCAAGGGTTCAAAGTGAAGCAAAGGGGAGAGGAGGGACTGGATGTGGAAATGTGTGTAGCAAATTAATAGGATTTGGTAACTGTTTAGGTGTAGGAGGGGAAAATAACTTAGAGACCTTAAGTTGATGGTGCCCTTTGTTGAAATAAGGTAAGGCAGGCTGAATGCTGCCCGTTTTTTGACAAGTGAGTTGGAGGGCTACCTGGAAGCAAGTCAGATAAAACTGTCCAGAGGACAGGAAGAAGCAAAGATCAGGAGGGGGAGGTCAGGGCTGGAACTTAAGAGATTTGAAATCCCTTTACGTGGACAGTGGCTGGTGGGATGGAAGGGCACTACAAACTGATGAGTGATAGCCAGACTCTGGGGAAGGGTATTCCCCATAATTCAATGAAAAATCTTGAACAAACCCAATTAGATTAGTATTTTCAGTATTTGAGAGCAAAAAGAAAACCACTTAAGAATTAAGTGCTATTGTGTGTGAAATGAGTAATGGTATTAACTTATATCTTTATATAAATGCTTCCATCTCAAACTGAAATTTTGAAGAAAATGTAATTATGACAAAAATGTGTTTGTGTATCTGGTACTTAAACAGACCAATAATTAAAAATTAATCTTGTAGCCATTCTTTTTAGCTCCACTTAAACAGATGATCTGGTTCAGGGACTAATGAACTTTTTCTGTAAAAGAAGGGTCAGATATATTTCAGACTTTGCAGGCCACATGGTCTCTGCCTCAACTATTCAACTCTGCCATTGTGTGAAAGCAGCCACAGACAATATATAAATGAACAAGCATGAGGCTAGATTCAGCCTGCAGGCAGTTTGCTAACCCCCAGCCTAATCCATGAGAACACCATAATCATAAATAATGGAATGGTACCACATTCCCTTGATTAAATTCAGACTGCCTCCCAATCATATATTTTGCCAATAACTACAGTCCAAGAGCATTTATTCTAGTTGTTGGTTGTTCATAGTTTATCAAATAACAGGAATATAATGCATCTACTGGTGTTACCAAATGTGTCAAAGGGCCCCATCCCCCTGTACTCTTGAGCATGCCTTTCAGAGGCACAGGATGCCCCTTGTGAGCTCTGGGAGTAGGCACAAGTGCCTATTCCGTTGCAGGCGTCTTCGGTAGGGAAGCAGGGAAGAGGGAAATTGAGAACATATTTACACAGCCAGAGGGCTCTGAGTACATGACTAGACCACTAAGAACAATGCAGACTGAAAACATGGTTATAGTTTTTCACACTAAACATAGTCACTGTAGTAACAGTACCAGTAAATGAGTGAAGGCTGTTGGCTTGAGAAACTGAGCATTAACAGTTCCAGAAATGAGCTTATTAATAATTTTTATATATTGGTAACCCCTAATCTGTTTTATGTGATTTATGTCATATTTTGACATTGTTTTCATTTTGGTTTTCAGGGGAGCCCTGGAAGCTTACGTTCAATCAGTGAGAAGTAGAGAAGGCAAAGAATTTGCGCCAGTTTATCCCATAATGGTTCAGCTGCTTCAGAAGGCTATGTCTGCTCTTCAGTAACAATATGAAAGCTTTGTTGATCTCCACTTTGTGCTAACCCATTCATAGTTGGCAGTTAACACATACTCCAAAAGACAGCTACTATCTACTATTTTAAGAATGTAATTGATTGTTCTGTATTTCCTATCAACCTTTATTTACCTCTTTAGCACTTATACTTTAGCATAAAAATGTCGAGTCATCACCTTTTAATTCCATGGACCTGATTTTTCCAGAAAGATGTTTTCCTCTTTCAGATTTTTGTACAAGGCTAAAATTTCTTTTCCATCCATAACCGAGTCCTCCTATGGGTACATAAACCCAAAGTCCCCACTTCTTTTAAAAGGATATGAACACGTTATATAATGCGTACGCTGCTTCCCCCAACCCTGCCTTCTTCATTAAATAAGCATGTAGCTCAGTGGTTTCCAAATTTGGCTGCACATTCATATCACCAGAGGAGTTTTTAAAAATCCTGATGCCCAACTTGCACTCTAATTAATTAACATGTCTGGGAGTGGGAGCCTGACACCAGTATTTAAAAAAAAAAAAAAAAATCCCCAAAATGATTCCAATAGACAACAAAGTTGAGGAACCACTGGCACATCCCAAAGCTAAGATACAGGGTTAAATGGCCTTGTTTAAGTATTTCATACTCTATCTTTAAATAAAGCAAGGCTTTTGTTGCACTTTGTCATATCATCATTAAAAGCAGACCTTTGGGCTGTTTAACCTTGTAACAAAGATACCATGTGAAAAATAAAAATTTCTATAGCGATTCTCTATAACTGGTAGATAATCCAAGTCCTTATTTTCTGATGGCTCTTGTTCCGCTGTTAACATTTTTGTTTTTAATTTTTAAAATCCCATCAGCAGCCTCCTAATTAGCAGTGTTAGGAATCTGCCTTATGTTTTCCATCTCCTGAACCTGTTATTCTGAGAACTCATAAATAAAATTCAGCCAAGATTAATCAGTAAATGTCAGAGATAAGCAACTTTTTTTTTCCATTTATTTGAAATAATATACAAGAATATAGTGTGCAAAATTTAGGGGCAACATCATGAAGAAGTGTAATGAACTGAAATCAATTTTACAGCTGTGATTCCTAACCAGAAACACCACTTGGTAAGTAACATGAAAAGCCATGATTGTAGCTCAGAGCAAAAGCAGCTGTATTGCCAATGTATTTGCTCTAATTTTAGACAGTTGGAGGAAATTAAAGTGCAAGTGTTGCACTGCAATAAGTGCAAAGTCTGCCCCCACCATAAAGATTATGATGACAAAATATATTTAAGATACATGGCTGAGGAGATATAGAACACGAAGTTAAAAAATACAATGGTGTTGACTGTTAATAGCACCATTACAGTGACTATATCCCAATGCTATTAACTAACTTTACCTTGGCCTGGGCTAGGTCTCCATTGGAAATAATGGATGGCTGCTGCCACCTGGTGCATCAACTCAGCATGCCATGGTAACTGCAGCAGGTGGCTCTTAGGCTGGGACACCAACACCAGCCACCTGCCACATGTTCTGGTAGCCTCTTGGCACTGACCAGACTAGGAGCGCCTATGTTTGGCACAGATGCTGAGCCATGTGGTGGTTACTCAAAGAAAGGCCGACTCCCAGCTTCTGCTTCATTCCATCATGTGTACAATACAGATTAATAAGCAGTAAGGAGCCAATGTATAAACAGCAGTTACATACTTTTTAAATTCCCCTTTCGTACAATTTAAAATAAAACATGTATACACTTTTCCTCTCTTTCTACTGTACTTTAGCACCACAGGATATCAATTTTCAAGCCTATATTACCTGATAGACATATATGAAGTTTGGAAGAAAAATAAGGCAATTTGGTTTAAAATGTTGATAGTTTTAGCTTAATGCTCTAATGGAGAAAGCAAATCCTCACTCATATTATTAAATCATTTCAAGACTCAATGCTATCAGTATCTTATGGTCACACGAATTGAGGACAAATGGTGAGACCTTGATCTTCTTAAGTCTTTCCATCAAGAGTCAATGTATATGCAAATATAGACTAAGAACATAAGCATCCTGGTTTAATGTTGTTGTGAGCCCTGTGGAAATAAAAAACTCAGTGAATGTTTACAAATCAATACATAGTAACCCTATATATGAAAGCTAAGATGTATAAGATGTTTATAAATTTACTGTTAGAAAATACTGCTTCTTAAAGGTGATTTTAAAAAGCTAGCTGTTATCTGATGGCTCAAGCATCCAGAAAATGTATGCAATCATAAGACATTGACTAGGATGAACAGAAAAGGATACAGGCAAAGTCCTAACACATGAAATTCTAAATTAACCAAGAACTTCCAAAACTCAGTTCAGTCACCTCTCTCGTCTTGACTACTGACCACTATTTTTAAAGAAATTCTTGAAAAATTTAAACAGATGTGACCTGCATGTTACTAAGAAACAGGCACAAGTACACAGAGTGAATTTAAAGTATCTTTGGCCAGCTCTCCTACTATAAACTACTGATATCTTCCCTTCATTTTTTAATGATATTTCAAATTGACCCCACTGTATCACACGCAATTTTCTTGCAATTAATATAAAAACACTGAACCTAAAAGATGCTAGTTTAGTAATGGAAAAGTTGTAAGAAACAAGTCTATCCAAGATACCTTATCATACAGACTTATTGGCCACCCTTCCTGGGCCTTTCTATTTCTTCTCCCCCTCTAAATTTTTCAATCTAGAAATTCTGTGCCAATGGCACAAGTCCCCATGAGTGGTAGCTAACATTCCCCCAACGCCTCCAGCCTCGTTGGTCCCTCACCAATTAAGGAAAAGCTGTTGCGACATACGAAAAATTAGAGAAACTTTCTACTGTGATATTAATGGATTAATAATGCTTATCTTTCAACTCAACTAGAAATACTGTATTCCAAAATTATTTTTCCAACCAATGTTTAGAACAAACATTCTTTTTAAAGTTTGCCTGAGATTTCGACTTTCCATGCTAAGACAGTAAATGACACTTGAGGAAAGGCAGTCTTTATATGATGATGCGAAAACATTAGGTTTTGAAGTATAAAAATGCTAGAGATAACATCAACACAACCTCTTAAAGGTTGTAACAACTGCTCCAACATGCCAATACACCTGCAGGGACGAGGCAAGATAATTTTAAACACTATTTATTGAAACATACTGAATTGGTTCTTTTCCTCTTCCAACAGTCAGGATTTAAACGTTTCTGTTCTTCAGCCAAAGCCTTTGCTTCTAATGTGTACATTCTTCTCTCTTCATTCTTCATTTTCTTCCACCTGTCACCAAGGATCACACTTATGGCTCTGTAAAATAAATATTTACACAATGCTGAAGGTACACATTTTTCATAAATCTCATGTCAAGTGCTGCTACTTCAGGAGAAAAATGTGAAGTTAAAAAATGAAAATCCTGTCTATCACAGAGATGGGAAAAGGTCAAGGCCATAATACTCATTTCCAGTAAAATCTCGAGTCAAATAGTCCATTGTGCCGTATCAGCAGCATAAAGTACTCAACTTGTACTAAAAGCTAATCTCACTCTCTATTTGTGCCCGTAACCTATCAAATAGTTTTGATACAGTGTAAGAGTAGAGTTAACTATGCGTGCCTTACTATTTCTCTCAAGAGAAAACCAAATAAATAAACCTTTAGGCAATATATTTTATTACTTGAGAAAACTGGATAAACTCAAAATGGTAAGAAGTTGAACTGATAGAATACATCATGACTAAAATTAGAAGCTATTTTCTCCTGTTTGTTACTCTGCTATGAAACCTAAAACAGTCTCAACTAGGGCATACAGATGTAAACCACCTTCCTTCTACAAAGACCTTTTAACCATTCACTTCATGACACCCATATAAGTAAGACATAAGGTCCTGGAAATTTTGCACAAAGCACATTGATTTTTTTTTTTTTTTTTTTAAAGAGTCTTGCTTTGTCGCCCAGGCTGGAATGCAATGGCGCCATCTCGGCTCACTGCAAGCTCCGCCTCCCGGGTTCCTGCCATTCTCCTGCCTCAGCCTCCCCAGTAGCTGGGACTACAGGTGCCCGCCACCACGCCCGGCGAATTTTTTTGTATTTTTAGTAGAGATGGGGTTTCACCATGTCAGCCAGGATGGTCTCGATCTCCTGACCTCGTGATCTGCCTGTCTCAGCCTCCCAAAGTGCTGGGATTACAGGCGTCAAGTGATTTTTATACTGACTAATATGGAAGCCAAAGCAACAGGCATTTGTGCCTTCGAACAGTAATAAACCACAGAAGCTCTCCTACAAGTGTATTTGTCTTTTTATCCAATAAGTTAATGCAGTTAAACATTGTGCTGCATTTTCCTTTATTATAAACCAATTTTGGGGCTGGATGTTGTGACTCATGCCTGTAATCCCAGCACTTCTGGAGGCCAAGGCAGGCAGATCACTTGAGGCCACGAGTTCAAAACCAGCCTCGCCGACATGGTGAAACCCCATCACCCCTCTCTAGTATTTGCCAGGTGTGATGGCACATGCCTGTAACCACAGCTACTGGGGAGGCTGAGGCACTAGAATCGCTTGAACCCAGGAGGCAGAGGTTGCACTGAGCCGAGATCCCACCATTGCACTCCAGCCTGGGGAACGGAACGAGACTCTCTCAAAAATAAATAATAAAATGAAAATCAATTTGTATATTCCATTTGCAGAACCCATTAAAACAAAACTTTTAGTCTTGGGTTAAAGGTACCATATAATGGTTGACACATTTAAACAAAGCAATACATATTCACACCATCTCAGTCATCCACAGTAAGAAAGAATATGAGATGTTTTTGAAGGGGCCGGCACTGGGAAACAAATTTATTCTTTTAAGTTAAAAGATAACAGGTAATGAAATGTACACAATGCTACAGACTATACGCTGTATTCCCTAACAACTATAAAATACACACATCTAAAGATTATTTCTGCAGTGAATGTTACATCCAGATGGACATTTATAGCAACTTAAAATGAGCTACATATCTCTGACCTATTCTAATCTCCATTCCCTCAGAATTTGCCTCCAAATGAGAATTTATTCACTGAATTAAGGCAGCTTTATTAGAGACAGGGAAAAATCCATTTTCAAAATTATGTATGACTTATCTCATTCGGTTTAGAGAGAGGTGACATCTGATGGCCCTCAGTGTTAGATGATTACCAGTATACCACATGGCAGCAATGCTAAAATGCAAAGAAAATATTAATTTGGCTGGGCACGATGGCTCACATCTTTAATCCCAGCACTTTGGGAGGCAGAGGCGGGCAGATCACCTGAGGTCAGGAGTTCGAGACCAGCCTAGCCAACAAGATGAAACCCCATCTCTACTAAACTACAAAAAATTAGGTGTGGTGGTGCATGCCTGTAGTCCAAGCTACTTGGGAGGCTGAGGCAGGAGAATCACTTGAACCTAGGAGGCAGTGGTTGCAATAAGCTGAGATCACACCACTGCACTACAGCCTGGGTGACAGAGCAAGATTCCCTCTCAAAAAAAAAAAAAAAGATTTATGAGCAATAAAGGATATAACCTGATTTAGAGATTCTATAAAAAGATCAGAAAACAAAACACCTAAAGATAAAATGAGATTTACACTTCTTATCATCAGGATAGTCCAGTCCCCCAGGATTGTAAATAAATACAGAATGCATCCCAGCTGACATTCTCAACTACTGGCAGGGAAGAGAATAGGGACGTGAATCCTGTTTCTAGAAGTCAAACGATATGTTTAATGATACCAGAAATATACAAAAAGAGAAATGCAGCATGTACCTGTCACTAAATCCAAGGCCATTTTCTCAAAAATTGAACAAGGGGAAAGGTACAAATTATTCTTAAAATGTCCTTAAAGCCTAAAAGTCACAGAGAAGTAGACTTCCAAACTAATTTTTTAAAAAAATACAGTTAAACCCACCCTTTTTACTGAAGAAATGGATTACAACTTAGATTAATTGCCAAAAGTCACACAAATGACAGATCCAAGAGTTAAAAAATTTCAATAGTATTAAAAAGTCTCTTAGGGCTGGGCCCAGTGGCTCATGCCTGTAATCCCAGCATTTTAGGAGGCCAAGGTAAGCGGATCACTTGAGCTCAAGAGTTCGAGACCAGCCTGGCCAACACAGTGAAACCCCGTATCTACTAAAAATGCGAAAAATTAGCTGGGTGTAGTGGCACATGCCCATAATCCCAGCTACTCGGGTGGCTGAGGCAGGAGAATCGCTTGAAACCACGAGGCAGAGGTTGCAGTGAACCAAGATCCAGCCACTATACTCTAGCCTGGATGACAGTGAGACTCCGCCTCAAAACAAACAAACAAAGGCTCTTTAGAATTCTTGACTCGTAATTCCACACTTACATATCTTAAGGAATAAGGAACTAGGACAAAGCTATTCATTACTGTGTTACATCTGACGTTTCTCATGATATCAAGATAAAGGAAACGGTAGTTCTGATCCTCAGGATACAAAGACTGGAAGAAGACAGCTTTATTAATATATGGAGAATCTGACTGGTATGAGAGGGATTCAGTAGTACAGGAATTGGAGATGAATAAGGGTACAGGCAACAGCGAAGGAAGGACTTGAGTTGATTTGTGTTCCCAGCTTCCACTGAGGACAGCTCTTAAGTTCAGCCTTTTGACAACTCTGGCAACTTGCTACAAATTGCCAGTTCCCCGTACAATCCATAGTTGACTTAGGTGAAAAGCTGTTCTATAAAGATACAACTATCAATTATTAGACCTGTGTCCTGTAACAGGTAAATAAGATGATTTTAAAAGGTAGATCCTGCACTTTGGGCGGCAGGCAGATCGCTTGTACCCAGGAGTTTGAGAACAGCCTGGGCAACATGGCACAACCCCATCTCTACAAAAAATACAAAAATTAGCTGGGTGTGGTGGCATGTGCCTGTAATCCCAGCCATTCAGGAAGCTGAGGTAGGAGGATTAATGGAGCCTGGGAGATAGAGGCTACAGTGAGTCACACCGCTGTACTCCAGCCTGGGCTACAGCACAAATAATAAAAGGTAGATCCTTACTACTAAGGTAGGTAACCTAATTGTCTAGGTATTATAAAATAATTACATATAACCCTAAAAATTCCACTTAAACTTCTTAAAGTCAACCTGGCCGGGCACGGTGGCTCACGCCTGTAATCACAGCACTTTGGGAAGCCGAGGCAGGTGGTTCACCTGAGGTCAGGAGTTCGAGATCAGCCTGGCCAACATGGTGAAACCCTGTCTCTACTAAAAATAAAATTAGCCAGGTGTGGTGGTGGGCACCTGTAGTCCCAGCTACTTGGGAGGCTGAGGCAGGAGAATTGCTTGAACCTGGAAGGCTGAGGTTGCAGTGAGCCGAGATTGTACTACTGCACTCTGGCCTGGGTGACAGAGCAAGACTCCATCTCAAAAAAAAAAAAAAAGTCAACCTATGAGTTGAATAAAAGCTATTAAAGAATAAGTTTACTTAACTATTCCAGTTACTATGAACCATATTGAAGTATTACTCATTTATTATAATCAGAATTATCACTATTTTTACCTGTTATCTTTCCCTGGATACATCTGAGTATATTCAACTCTGTATTTTTTGGCAAAAAGCATGAAGGCATTCATTGGTCTTTTGCACTTATTAGGAGAAGTGGCACTCACAGTCCCTGAGCTGTGGTTTTTAACAGCTTTAGCATACAAAGAATTGGAAGAGAGCTGTGATGATCCAGGTGAGCCACAGTTTTTACTGAATCCAGATCTTGCAAAGTCTTGACCACCAGGTCCTCCACAAGACAAAGATGCACGACGCTGGCGAGCCATACTACTTAACACATAAACTGCGGAAGAATCCATAGGTGTGAAGTCATAGCTATAAAATTAAAAAAAAATAAGATTTTAATTCAATTTAGAATTCTGATTTCTAAAATGCAGGTTTAAAAAAAAAAAAAACCCTTAACATGATTGGAAATTTCAGTGCATATCCCCCTGTATCATGTTACCAACACTAACAACTTTTGCCACTGATAAATTGCTTATAAAATGAAATCTGTGTATGTGCCAACTAAAATTAATTTCTTTAAAAAAACCTCTGTAGATAATACAAAAGCTTAAAAAAGACTTTGAACCTCCCAAAGGAATGTTATAATCAGCATACTTTATTCATAGCAAGTAACTCCTCCAAATCCTACACAACCCACTTATTTTTATTTTAAATTCATTTCTGGACAAATGTGACAATACGATTTCTTGGCCTATAGGCACCCAGACCTAGAAAATTAAAATGGAGTGGCAGGCAACATATCAGGTCTAAGGACTAAATACTACAGAAAACAAAAGGTTGGGAAAGGGCAATGAAAAGCTGTATTTTAAATGTGGCTAAAAGAACTTAAGGCCAGGCCTGGTGGCTCACGTCTATAATCCCAACAGTTTGGGAGGCTGAGGTGGGTGGATCACCTGAGGTCAGGAGTTTAAGACCAGCCTGGGCAACATGGTGAAACCCCATCTCTACTAAAAATACAAAAATCAGCTGGGCGCGGCAGCACATGCCTGTGATCCCAGCTATTCAGGTGGCCGAGGCAGGAGAATCGCTTGAACCTGGGAGGCAGATCACGCCACTGCACTCCAGCCTGGGCAACAGAGTGAGACTCCGTCTAAAAAAAAAAAAATCAAAAATAAATAAATAATTAAAGGAACTTAAAATGCCCAGTAATCTGGGTCATTTGTTTAGGTAGAGAGAGCCATACATACATCACTCTCCTGAAAGGCCATCCATGAACTATAACATAGCCTAATAACATAAAAAAGTTCATTGTAAAAACCCGCCTTTGTCAGGAAAGGCCACATTTTGTTCTGTATGTTCAGTTTACATAGACATGGAAATAAGCTAAAGAATTCTCTTGTTCCAGCATTAACTCTTTCTGCCTATAGTACTTTTCTGTCTTCTTGGCAGGAAACCTTTTATTCAGCTTCTAATCTCAACTTAGCTCCTACTTGCTTCTCTGAAACAGAAATTCCGGTAATACATCAAAATAGGTTAACATTAGCTACAGGAATACCATCTGCCTAAAGGTAAAACATGAGATTACAAAATTCTAAAGATAGATGGAAACAGCCAAAGGAATGAGGGTGGTCCATGCCACTGACTACACACAGTAAATGACTTTTACCAATTATCAAGTACATGATGTCTTTTTTCTGAAAGTATTGCATGAAATAAATGTACTTAAACTATGACTCCAAAATTACCTAATGAATGCTTAGCAATCAGTATTATGTCAGGAAAACAATGTCTGCTTTCTAGGTTTGCAGTTTTTGTAAGGTATCTTCAGCCTCTCCCATACATAATTTAGGAAAATAGCAAACTTCAGCACTGACACAAAATTACCCATCTCTACTGATGGAAAATGATTACAACTTAAAATACCAAAAGATACTGGGTAAGCTAATTACTAAAATTTGAAAATTCCACCATCTAGTGGCACAAATATAACCATCATCTACTTCCATTACAGATACAACTTAAATCAGTTTTAAATATTCAGTCACAAAATTCAATGACTATTACTGTAGCAGTAATGACATAGAGTATCTTTAAAAATAGCTTCATCTTTTGCTCTACTACCTTAGGTAAGCATTCACTCTCTTCACTAAAGCACCTGTACCCAAATGTGCCTTTCACAGCTCTACTTTGTGTACATGCCATTCCCTAAGCTTAGAATGCCCATTCCCACTTCACTGTCTGATCACTAGTCTTAATGGCAAACTCCACAATAATGTACTGCCTATTAACCATGTCACAGATATTAACTTATTTAATCCTTCCAATATTATCCGCATGTTACAGATTTTTTTTAAAGGAGCCATAGAAATATTAATTTACTCAAGCTTCCATAGCAAATCAATTGCAAAGCCAGGATTTGAATCCAAGCAGTCCAGATCAAGCTCACGTTCCTAACAGGCTACGCTGCCTCTCAATCAGCATGTACATTTACTGTATACATTTACTAATCCATTTCCTTTTCCAGACTGGAAGCAAAGAGGCATGCCCATTCTTAACTCATTTTTTAACCAATTCTGAAAATAATAATGGAAAATTTTAACTGAGTTCAAATTCCAGCTAGTAATATAACCTTGGCCAAGTTAAATTAAACCCTATAGCCTCAGTTTACTTATCTGTGAAATTATGCTATGCAGTGGTGCCAAAAAGAATAATAAACGTTAAGAAACAGGGCAGAAGCTGGCACAGTGTATTATGCCATTAGAGGTATCCATTATTGTAGAATTATCTTAGAATTATCTTAGGTGAGTAGCTAGAGTACTAAAAATTTGGAATCTTTACAAGATATGGGCTTGAATCCTAATTCTGACACTCACTGCCTTTATTTTGGGCTTTATTCCTTAACCTCTCAACTTTACTTCTCTCTGTAAAATGAGGATATAATCTACAAATAGGGTAATTAATATGAAATAAATTAACATTATATACATAGTAGGCACTCAATAAGTTTGTTAAATCATATTACTTGAACAGAAATATCAACTTCAAAAAGTCAAAACTGTTTTAAACGCCCGAGGCCTAGAAGGTTGGCCTCAATTCTCAAGTGTTTCAGAATGGACTACTTACAACAGAACCTTGAATTACGTATGAGAACTCATCAACTGACTGCTGACTTCTGATTCTTCCTGAGCTAGACACTACTCACATGTCCTCTGTAAATCATGACCCGAGAGTTTGCTTGGAGCAGTTCCACTTGGACTTTTTCCTCTTCTTACCTCTTTATCTTCTTGCCCTCCCTAGGCCAGGCATCATCTCCCTTAACCAATCCAATCCACAATGAAAATATAGTCACTTTCAGCATCTCAATTTTGTCCTGGTTTCTCCATAATAATACTACCCATTTCCACTCCTTTGCAAGGTGGATGCTCCTGCTGTTATACTGAAGTCACTCAACAATAAAATGAGACCAATGACTAACGTCATCTTGGGAGTGATTATTATTCAGTGAGATCAAATGGTTAAGAATTTGCTATCTCAGAAAAACAGGAATTAGGCAGGCAAGTTTTCCCTTCTGCTTTTTTTAAAAAAGTTTTGTGCTATGTAATAATATGTAAAATTTACATATATATGTAAGTTATGAAGCATACAAATAAATGAGTGAACCCACAATTCAAATTAAGAATATTTCTAGTATCACTTAAAGTTCCATATTTGCCACCCCCAGAAATAACCACTCTCCTGAATGTTTATCATTCCTTTATTTTTTCAATTTTATTATGAAAATATTACTCATAAATACAATATATAAATACTATAGTAGCATTAGTTATATTACTGTCTTTCTTAATATGTAAGACACAGTGTTTCATTATGCAGAAATGACTGCTATCCTTTCAAAAGTCTACTTACAAGGTTGACCCTTGACTAATTTCTAGAACTTGGATTTTGAGGGGTCCCATCATTCCCACAACTGAGTAGCTTACTATGCCTAAACTGGATGTACAAACAACAGTTTACTCTGAATGCCTGCTTTCCTTTTGGAAGTTTGGATTTTGGTATGTGCCAGGCAGAAGAAACCTACGTGACCGCTCTCAATAAAAACCCTAGGTGCCCGAGTGAGTCTAACGAGCTTCCCTAGGAGATGACATTTCATATATGTTGTCACAGCCCACTGCTGGGGGAATAAAGCATGCCCTTAATCCCACTGGGAGAGAATCCCTGGAAGCCTTGCTTCCCCCAGACTTCACCCCACATCTTTTCCCTTTCCCAGTTTTGCTTTGTATTAATATCTTTTTGCCATAATAAGTCACAGCCATGAGCACAACTATGTGCTGAGTCTTGTGAATTCTCTGAGCAAATCATCAAAGCTGGGGGCTAGTCTTCAGGGACCCCTGACATAATTATATAATGTGTGCTACATACCATATATAATGGTTATTTTATTTGATATATTTCTAAGGAACATGATTCCATAAAATAGACTCATACTGTATATTTCCAAGACTTATTTTTACTAAACATTGTTTTAAAAATTAATCCATGTTTTAAAGTGTATACCTAAGGTTCATTCATTTTCCACTAATTCCACTATGATTATAACAGAATTCATGGAGTCACTCTCCAGTTAATAAGTATTGACAGTTTCCACATTTTTGCTATCATGAGCAATACAGCTACAAACTTACTTGCACATCTCCTTGAGCATGATTACAAGAATTTACTTCTCTAGGATATATATAAAAGAGGAATGAAATTGCTAATACCTTTACAAGATAAAGCCAAATTATCTTCCAAAATTTTTCTATCAGGAGACTCCTAGGTCTCACCAAAACATAGGAGTTATCACTAATCTATATATCCTAAGTATCAGTCATTAAAATTTTGACTCATTTTTCTAGTTTATCAAAAAAGAGTGTGTATGAGGGATATAATCAAACAGCATTAAGAGTATAAGCTTGTAGACATTTATTGAGCATGTGGCTTGTGTCAGGCCCTATGCGATTTGCTTTTTTAATAATAGTTTCATCCTCATGATATATAAAATATATTAATTAAACTGAATGAAATAAAATCTACAGGCCAGCAGGGACTCTTGGGAATTCTCTACTTAGTCCCCGTGCATGCCTATGGATTTGATAATCATCTTAAAGAAAGAATGTGTCTTTAAATCCCAGATACCTACAAGCAGACTTTCTCTGGGTTCCTTCTAGGAGCAAAGTGACCTATTGTTCCAGTTTGTCTAGGACTGAGGGGTTTCCTGAAAGCTGGACTTTCAGCACAAAAACCAGGAAAAGCCCATATAAATGAAGATAGCTGACCAACCTTCTGGAGTCAAGACACGTTGGTTCTTGTCCTACTCTGCTGCTTACCAGCAACGTGATCTCAGGAATAACCACTTCCCCTCTCTAAGCCTTTAGATGTCAAGTTTGGGCTATTTTCTACTGTTTCTTAAACCATGCAACTAATGCCCTTGGTCAAAATAAGTATTAAACAAAGATACAGTTAACTAATATATCAAGAAAAATACAGTTAACTACAAAAAACACAAGAGATGTATAAGCTGTTTAAAAACAACTGGCCAGATACCACAACTTTTTAAATGTAACTATCAAAGCTGAACCATTAAACTCTTGGTCATGTAATATGTGATATTCTTCCTTATCTAATCCTAAATGTTTTATAAACTCAATTTTCCTATATGACAACTATATGCAAAACTCTGTTAACTATTATACTTTAATTACCTAGTAAGTTTTCATCATTCTCAAATCTTTAAAGACTGAACTTCCTAAATATCTGACTTAACAACCATTAGGGAAATGAAGGGCAAACTTTAAGAGGAAAATAAAACAAAGAATTAATCCAATATTACCTTTTAAATGTATCAAAAACACCTGAATCATCAAAATTAATGGCATCGGGGTGTCCAGGAGGTAGACATACATCGCCAACATGAACTTCACAACATGGAATGCCATGCTGTACCACAGTCAAGCTTGGATAAAATGATGACCAACCTAAAGTTAAACAATGTTGCATAAAGGATGAGGACTCACAGAAAGCACCCTACTTCAGAACAGACATATCATTTCTATACCTTAAAAATAAAGTTATTGCTAAGTCTCAAGAGATTCTCTAACACAAGTCATGTATCTTTACAATAAAGTACTAGATAAGTATTTCCTTTCAGCAATGTAAGAGCCCTCTAAAACTAGCTTATCATTCAGCATTTTATTATATATAGGGCTCCTCTATCAATCAGCACTTCCATCAGTCTACAATGACAATAAGTGATAAATGATGACTGAGACGATGAAATAGTTTCTGAATTATAAAATTATGTTTAACATGGTGTTACTATAATAAGGCTCTGAAGAGTGATTCAGGTTTATGTCATATTTGGTAACTCTTAATGAAAATGTGATAACCAGATCACTACATTCCCCAAACTATACCAAGATAACAGAAAGCTTATTATAGTATGCTACATGAATCTAAAAATTTCTTACACTCACAGGAAATAGAGTTCCACCTGACTACTGCTAAGATACTTAAGCACCATTAGGTATTATTATAAGCATTCCCTATGGTAGTTTTTTATTTAGTTTGAAAGATGTTTTCCCCTCAAATTATTTTTTCTTAATCATCAAAGCTACAGACATAATTACAGATTTAAGAAGCTTTGTTTAAAAAACGTTAGTACAAATGCAATTCAAGCCCTACCTTTATTTTTAACATAGAAAGGGTGGTCCAGCTTACACTCTACGGTAAGTAAACCATCTTCTACTGTACCAGGATCAAAAGTCAACTTCAGTACAGACTCGCCAAATGATACACTTTCTTCATGTGATAACAACTTTAGACCATCAGAACCATAGCCCTGAAAATATATGCATAGCGTGAATGAATTGGAAATATTCAATTCAAAACACCGTGAAGTTCCCATTACATGTAAGACTTTGTGGAAAAGGTAAAAATAACCAAGACAGGATCCCTGCCATTAAAGAGCTTTCAAACCCAGTAGTGAAGAAAGACACATATATAAATAACTAGACTGGAATAAGCAATTACACTCAAGCATAAATAATGGTGATGCAGTTTAATAAAGAGTTATTAATTCCAAAAGAGAGATTAAGGAGGATTTTCAATTCCAATTGCAACTGAGAATGCAACTTAGAAAGATGGAAGGACATGCCTTGCACCAAGAAATCTGTAATTAACAACTTCTTTGGGAAGTGCTGAGTATTTGCTAAAAATACAAGGTGAGTTCAGATCTGGGGCAAATAAAGTTAATAAAGAGAGGCCAGTTAGTAAAGGCCTCTTAAAGACAAGCAAAGTACTTACACTTTTTGCTTAGAAGGTATTGGGAAATCAATCAAAGTGTTTTCATCAGTATGACTGTCAATTTTTAAGATGATGGTAAATAAGAAGAGACTCTACAGAAGGAAAGATCTCATATTCAATTACTTGAGGATATAATGAGAGACACCTCTTATAGACCTGAATTGACAAGTGCAATGGTAATAGAAGCAGACGAATTTATTGAATATTGAATTTATTGAATGAATATTGAGCATTTAACACATGCCACATGGCAGGATCTGAAAATACACACACTAACAAACATGATCCTTACCCTTACATTCACCGAAAAATAAAGGAGACAAACATGCCAAAAGCTTGCTATAGTATCCAAGCATAATTATGCTAACGCATGAACAAGGTAATGAATAAGAGAGAATGACTTAAAAATTTTTACAGAATTAGAATGAAATGAATATAAATTGAAGAAATGGAATAGTAAAAGACTAACTTCATGGTTTTGAATCTGGTAATCAAGAAGGAGGATAATAATAACTTTAAAAGAATAGGAGAAAAGTAAGCCAAGAGGAAGAAAAAGGTGAGGGCAGTTTTGGTCATACTAAGCTTAGTTCAAATAACTGACTGATATTCATGTAGAGATGTCTAACATGCAGCTGGAAATGTGCAGGTGAAGGTTATAGACATAGACTGGCAAATAATGAAATTACAAAATCTTCTAATTCTCAGGGCTACAGGAGACCTTAAAAGTAATCCAATCCCATTTTTCAGATCAGGCAGCCAATACTCAGAGGGGTTAACAATCTGCCTAAGATCAGTAACACAGATAATTGCTGGAGAAGCTATAAAGAGAGTCCAGGTTTCCTGACTCCAAGTCCAGAGTGCTTTCCACAGGACACGATGGAGGCGCTGCTGACATTATCAGGAGAGAGGAACTGGTGAAGAAAGTGAAGGGGGCAGAATCTTGTCTAATATTCAGCATTGTGGACAGTCAAGTACCAGGCCTAAAAGACTGAGAATCAGGATGCTGCCATGCTACACAAATCAAGGGAAGACAATGTCAGGAACTAACCCAATGTGTCAAATATTGTACAGATGGCAAACAGAACAAATAAGGTCTCTCATCCTAGAAATCAGAATAAAGCTAGTAACCTTTGAGACAATTTTTGTAGAGCAGTAGAGGCGAAAGTTAAGACTATTGTGAACTTACTAAAGTGAAGAGTAAAGCAAGGGGAGGAAACTGAAGGCAGCCAAGACAGGACAATTTTTCTCAAGAGACTTAATAGTGAGACACAGCAGGATCAAAAAAAGAATTTGTACAAGCACATCTCACATGCCCATTTTCTTGCCTACAGGAGAGATGGAGAAATTAAAAATTTCAAAGTGAAAGGTGTCAACTTTATCCTAATATTGCTCACTACTGCTTTTGCTCATCAACTTAGAAAATGCTAGTTTTAGTAACTTAATATAAAACAGCTTATATAAAGTACCTTAACATAATTGACTGTCAATAATCTATAGGGGAATTAATCACTTTGTAGATTACCTAAGGCAAGGCTTTGGTTAGTTAATTTATTCATTACATACTTCTTTTTTTTTTTTTTTTTTTTTGAGACAGAGTCTCGCTCTGTCGCCCAGGCTGGAGTGCAGTGGCGCAATCTCGGCTCACTGCAAGCTCCACCTCCCGGGTTCACGCCATTCTCCTGCCTCAGCCTCCTGAATAGCTGGGACTAAAGGCGCCCACCACCTCGCCCGGCTAATATTTTTGTATTTTTAGTATAGAGACGGGGTTTCACCGTGTTAGCCAGGATGGTCTCCATCTCCTGACCTCGTGAGCTGCCCATCTCAGCCTCCCAAAGTGCTGGGATTACAGGCGTGAGCCACCGCGCCCAGCCTCATTACATATTTGTAATATCAGTTTTCCCCAATGTAAAGTGTATAAAACACAAAGAAGCACCAAGAAATATACTATTTCCCATCCAAGAAAGCATGATAGAAAGGCAAACCTAAAATCAATGCTCCTCCCCATCAGACTAAGCAATGAGTGGTCATAAAAGTTCTCTACCTAAAATGTAAGATGTCATTTAAATATGAAAGTGAATGGAGGATATTTCTGTAGATTAACAACATATCTTGTTTCATTTTTAAAGATTTTGAAAAAATTTTTCAGACTTTTAAATTAACCTTGTGAATGCCCATTTGAAGATCTTCCTCATTATCACAGCCTTCAGCTCTAGCAAAATCTTCAACATCTTGCCATTCCTTATTGCTTCCCTTATGAAAGCACAGTCGTGTGCCTAAGGTTTAGGTAGAAAACAAGTATTAGACATGTGACTGTACTAGACAAGTAAGCTGTAGAAAATTCAAGGTTTTTTTTTTTTACCTTTCAAAAAACAGTGCCAGACAGTTGAAGGCCAGGAATTGCACCATCCCAAATCATCATCATCTGACAGGGAGGACATGCAGAAAATGCCAGATTCTGACTCACTATTTGCCTATGGAGAAAAATATTATCAACTTTTTGTTTTTAAAATATACCTTTTAATATCTGTTTTCATCTCATGTCTTTAGGCCCATGCTTGTAGGCGGGTAACTTAATAATTCTAAACTTAAGGAAAATATAACGCCTTCAAAAACTGAAGATTGTCAGGCTATGGGAGAATTTGCTAAAAAAAAAAAAAAGACACACACACACACAAAACAAAGTTTTTGGAAGCTTAAGTTATATGCACATTCCCATTAATAATAAACTTTCCTAACACATAGTAGAGCTGTATATAAAATCAAATCCAGATCACTAACAGAACAGTGAGACTATTTCCTATGGGGAAAGTTAATGTATTTCAACTGTTGTGCAAACTTTGTAAAAGTTTAACCTCATAAATAAACTTACCCTTTCATGTCTTACTGGTGTTTCCTCCTTCCAATGGTGATGAGGGAAGGCTGGCTCACTCTTCGAAGAAGAGGACACTGGTGGAGGGCGTGCATAGGAATGTAAACTTTTGCTAGTGGCTATGATGTGTACAGGAGATGATCTAAAATAAAGCAACAGTTTTAACCGTAAGCATAGGTCCTTAAAGTAGATCTTTCCTGTTGATGAAATAACTTCGTATTTAAAATGCCAATGTTATTACATTGAACACATCTATGGTAAACATGAATAAAGACAGCAAGATTTCATTTTATAATCATATTCCTTAACTCCTTATCCAAATCCTCCTCACATTTTAGATACCATTTTTTCAGATTTGACAATATATTTTAAATTACGACTACGGTTTCATTTATCCCATTCATTTTTCTATCAATATATATACATGTGTGTATTTCATTCGTGAATGTTAATATCCACTTATGCAGGGCGTCCTATCCATTTCTTTCTTCTACTTTGATGTACTCAGTAACTCCCAGTATGAAGACAGCATTTAAGCTTAATGTAACCAACTCTGAACTCTTTATCTACCAACCACATATCACTGGAGAGATGTAACAACTACCTTAAGCAAAAATGCTTAAACTTTTTATAGCAGAGAGCAGCCTATCCACCCTCCTCGTAACTGGACACTATTTCTTGTTTTCTAATGCAAACTTGCTGAAAAGCAACTACATATAAGGTCTAGTTTTTTATCCCCAAGGATCACCTTAAAAAAAAAACTTTATCCCTTCCCCTCTTCTCTTCCCCTCAAAAGTCTCTTTTACCAGACAATGCTCCCTTTAGAGTATATGGAGCTCCCAGGAGCATACCCAGATCCTTCCCTCACAAACAAACCAGATATTCATGGGTGGGGTAACAGAAAGAAACAAGCTTATAAAGGATGATTAATGACGTGTACGGACTCAGCAGTCTGGAAAGGAAGCAGAGAGGAAGACAGTCAGGTGGCGGAGGGAAAACCATCTGAAAGTAAGGTCCCAAATCAGGATAATTGTTGAGATGCCAAATAGACATGTGGTGCTTAACAGAAAAAGTTTATGCATATCTATACTAATACTCTTTAAAAAGGAGAGGAAGGGCCAGGTGTGGTGGCTCACGCCTGTAATCCCACCCAGCACTTTGGGAGGCCGAGGCGGGCAGATCACGAGGTCAGGAGATCAAGACCATCCTGGCTAACACGGTGAAACCCCATCTCTACTAAAAATACCAAAAACTAGCCAGGTGTGGTGGTGGGCGCCTGAGTCCCAGCTACTCAGGAGCCTGAGGCAGGAGAATGGCGTGAACCTGGGAGGTGGAGCTTGCAGTGGGCCGAGATTGCGCCACTGCACTCCAGCCTGTGCAACAGAACAAGACTCTGTCTCAAAAACACAAAAAAAAAAAGAGAGAGAAAGGACATCTTTCCAATTTTTCCCTTATTTCCTGAGAAATTGTATTAGCCCTTCAATTTCTACTTTATCCTCATTAACATTTTGCATTTTACCTTTCCAGAAATTATTTTTACATAAGGATCTATACTTTGCTTTCATGTTCATATCACTCCTTAAATCAAAAGGCCCTCAGATATCCATGCATTTTAGCATACTCTCCAAGTTTTGATTTCAAATTATATGCTAAATGTTTCATCTTTTGTCCAAAAACTGCCCATCCTGTTATTACACATTTAGATATAAATGAAGTATCAGAGAATGGCCAAACTGCTAAATATTCCTTTTGTTCATCCCTGACTCCCTAATTTTAAAAAGTGAGTTTTATCAGTTCTTCTGTTTAACCACTTAAAACGGAAGTGACAAAAAGTAAAAATAAATAAAAATGAAGAACAATGTGATATTCTAAAATGTATATGGCCTGAATACTCTGTGAAAATTAACATGCTAAACATGTCTCAACACTCACAGCATTGATTTCTTCACTTCTCTATCTATGCAGGGTAATATAAATTTTTACCTGTCCTCAACTCCTTAACTGTACAGTTAAGACTTCAGATATCAAAGCTCAGTAACATAGTTTAACACCCAACAAGAAGCTGCATGAGCAGACAGTGTTAGGAGGCAGGCCAGAGAGCAGAGCATTACTCAAAATGCTGGACAGAATAATACATCCTCAGGGAGATACTCCTTCCTTTATGTCTTATGTTTTTATTTACACTGATTTTCTTCTGAAGGGTTTACACACTTTCCATAAACTGTATTATTAATCCTATGACTCTGCTGTAAAAACTGAAAAAAGTATTATCTCTAGAGAAAGGAAACAAATCCGATAGTTAAATCGGATTTTTTAAAAAAATAATAATAATTTTTAGCTTTTTGACTATTAAGATTACAACGAAAACTAGGACTATAAAGGAAATAGGAACTCTGAAAGGAAGTTTTCTTTCCTATGGAAACAAACATGGAATTAAACTGAAGTTAACTAAATTCAATTTGCTCTAGTCAAGATCAATATCCTGCTAAATACAAGAAAAGCAGCACAACTTAATAGATTACAAGAAAAGTGAGATTTCATACCTAATAAGTTTATTCTTTGGCAATGCATTACACTCAGGAGCACTAACAAAGTTTACAGTTATTCCTACATTACCTAGTATAAAACTCTGGTCTATCATTTCCTACTCACAGGTGTGCAAATATGGGCATTTCTCTCCCTTATAAACTGTCATATTTATCCATTTCTTTTTAGGGATAAACAATAAAGTGTTTTCCACTTAGGTCTCCCTAGGCATATTAGCTGGAAGCTTCCATAATTTCATAGCACACTCATTTTCTTAAACTCTGTCTAGATATATGAAACAGTGTTGCCCACTTTTAATCCACTTTTGTAAGTTTAAGATTTCAATATTAGCAAATTTTAGAATTAGCAAACAGGCAAATAACATAAGGCCACATAAACTACGGAAGAAATAAACCTAGACCAAAGGAACCCAACTCAAGTTTGATAAGTTTAAAATATAATCTTGATTACAACTCTGCTTCTTTAGACAAATATAATTTTCATTTCTATATGTAGAAATGTACAGTAAAATTATTTCATGGTATAATTTATTTTAATCATTTACAAATATTTTTTACCCTATGGTTCTCATTATCACCTTTAATTCTCAAAATATGAAATCATGGTAGTAAGTGAAATAAGTCTTTGATCATTAGATAAGGAGCTTAATTCTAATGACTTAAATTCTAATAATTTAAAGCATTATTACTTTCAAACTAGAAAAAATTTTAAACAAAACCTTTTTGTAATGATAGAATTTTTAAATAAAAATATAATCAATGCTCCTACCTATTGTAAAATGAGCACTGCATCAGTGGACTTTGTGGACTGGTTGCGATATTTGCCAATTCTGTTAGCCAGTCCACCTCATTTTCACGGTAAGTAGTTTCTGGTATGTCTGAGGTATTTTGGTTCCAAGATGGTCTTGTGTATTCTTGATGTGAAACATCTGAACTCAACTGGTACATGCCAGATTGGGTAGGATCACTTTGAACTGCCTGAAGTTCAGGAAGGTCATCTGCAAATATAAGCACACTCAAAATCATAAAAAGGAAATTAATACAAGGAATAATATTATAACTGCAGTTAAAAGAGAAGTCAATTTTAGCTAATTAATTTTGAGAGAGGAAAAGCATAAATTTAACATTCTGTTCACAGACTGGAAAAACATGATTTGCTTTGTGTTTTCTGCTTTTTATTCCCCCTCGGTTTTTGTACCTCACCTAGGAGTGACCCATATGCCATTGAGACATTTTTACATTAACAAGTTAATGAAGAAAAGCACATTTTATGTGTGCATTATGTACTTACTAATCACATACTTTAATAACCTGTTATACAGACTATAATGAAAACAATAATTTCCATAATAATATAGATCACATAAATATTTATGCTACTACTTACACAACTCTGTGTTAAAGTATTTCTTTTCACTAATAAATTCTGATCTTGTTAATATTTACTGGTTATTTTTTCCTATAAGTGCATTCTTAAAAGGTAGTTCACAATACCCTTTCAGTTCCCCACAAGATGACTAGAAATATTACTCAAGTACCATTCATGTACACACCAAGCACTATAAGGAACACTGAATTCCAAAATACTGAATTCTTTAAAAAAAATTATATATATATTCTTTAAAAAAAAAAATATATATATATATATATATATATATATATTTGTACGTATGTGTGTATGCAGTAGGAAAGAAAAAGCATCTTTAAGGCTTAAAAAAAAAACAACTCTCCATGAAACACATACTACAAACTCCACAAACCTACTGGGTCCCTTAAATATACAAGTCAAGAAAACTTCTAGTCTCCTCAATGTCACTATAAAAGTATGTATAATTCTATTCAGGCAAATATTCCAGAACAGTCTACTAAAACTGAAATGTCCTAATCTTTAAAAAAAAAAGAAAAATTTTTTTTGAGACACGGTCTCACTCTGTTGCCCAGGCTGGAGTGCAGTGGTACAATTATAGCTCCCTGAAGCCTTGGATCCCTGGGCTCAAGTGATCCTCACGCCTCTGCCTCTCAAGTAGCTAGGACTACAGGCATGTGCCCACCATGCCCAGCTAATAAAAAAAAAAAAATTTGTAGAGATGAGATCTCGCTACGTTGACCTGGCTGGTCTTGAACTCCTGGTCTCAAAATGATCCTCCCACCTTGTCCTCCCAAAGTGCTGGGATTACTAGCGTGAACCATCATGCCAAGCCAAACTGAAATGTTTTAATTAGAAGTACTGACTCAGGATATCCGTTCATAAAAACTGACTTCTTTCATGGAGTCATGAAGGAGCCAAGGAGTTCTAGAACATCACACCAATTTAAAATAATTCTACCCTACAATTTTCATGCTGGTATAGCTATTTCCTTTCCCTCATTGCCTTTGACCAACGTTCATTTACTGCAAAGGGTTCATTTGTTCTGAAGTTCAGGAAATTAACTACTTTTTAAACGAAGTCATAGGTGGAAGGGGCATGTTATTTTACTCCCCTGGGCCCTAAGTTTCTGAGTTCCTCCTTAAACCAAAAACATGATGGAGGAAGATCAACTACCTGATTAAAATGGCACTCCTTGCTCAAAAGTAACCAGTACTAAATAAATACTAGGGCCCAGAAAATCCTTGGCATTCAAGCAGGTTATGTGTCCCAAGAGCTTAAGAGCTCCAAATTTCCAAACATTACCACAGTACATAATCTCCTCCATTTCATCATTTGTAAAAATAAGACAGCTGTATCTTCTCCCCAGCGTTTTTATAAACATGAAGGGAAACCCCCATATATTAAATGGGGGCAACACCAAGCTGAAAAGCTGGGCAGCAAGCCAAGGTCACTCATTAGCTCTATACGCCTGAACACCAGCCTCGAAGCAATACAATTCAAAAACATACCTCAACAAACTTACACATTTCTACAGGTCACGTATCTCAAGGAGTTGTTCAGCAATAGTGACAACCATAAATGTCAGATCCTCAAGTTTCAAGGGTCCACTGCAATTTCCACATCATACCAGCAAATCTGCCACGAAGAGTGGCTAAGCATATTTTACTGAGCTCTCTCAAGTATGTTTCAAAAGTAGCATCTTTCGAAAAGCCACAAGTGGGGTCCAGTCTTTATACACAAAGTAGTTTAATTTAATAATCTGTAAATGAGTCTCTACAATAACCACAAATAGCCCAACTCATGTTGATTTTAAGTACTATTTTAAAAGCAATAACAGAATGTTGAAAATTTCTAATATACAAATACTTCATATCTTTTTCTAGCCAGTCAAGGTTGGTGGAGAAGCGGGCTAAGTATGAAAAGTTATATGAATCTTAGTGAGATTCCTATGTAACTTTTAATTTTGCTTACCAAGCTCCATGTGCTCATCACAAGAGTTATATCCAGGTGAAGATGGCAAATTCTCATTACACTGCAGCAACTCCAATGAGTCATTCATTCCTGAGGTTCTCTTGTCCATCACCAACAGGAGTTTCTGTACTGCATTAGGCATCTGATTTGTCTTCACTTCCCACACCATGTTATGGTGCTCTGACTTAAAATAAAAACATAAGAAATAATGTCAAGCCACGCAATTTGGGCATTACACAAACCTAAAATAAATCAGAGACATGACAATGTTGGTTTTTTTGTTGTTATTGTTGGTTTTTTGAGACATAGTCACACTCTGTCGCCCAGACTGCAGTGCAGTGGCATGATCTCAGCTCACTACAAACTCCACCTCCCGGGTTCAAGCAATTCTCCAGCCTCAGCCACCGAAGTAGGGACGATTACAGGCATGCGCCACCATGCCCAGCTGATTTTTGTATTTTTAGAAGAGATGTGGTTTCGTCATGTTGGCCAGGCTGGTCTCGAACTCCTGACCTCAAGATATCCACCCACCTGGGCCTCCCAAAGTTCTGGGATTACCTGTGTGAGCCATCATGCCCCGCCACAATGTTACATTTTAACTAAATTATACACTGCCATTTATAGCTCCCTCAAATCCTTTAGACTCAGATGACTCCTTAATATCTTGGCCTACAACTGAATACTCAGCAATAAATTACATCTCAATCCCAAAAGATTAATATCTTGAATTATAAAAAAAAAATATTTTCTGCTGAAGAAAAATGGCATTATATATACTTTTATTTCTTTAACCTAGTAACCTTCCTTTCAGATGCAAAAACTGAGACTAATAGGACTCTTTTTTTCACTTGTACCTTCAAATTCAAAAGGAAATTTAAAAACTTTCCTCAATAAAAGTTAAAAAGACTGGAGGAATATTCTATTTTTTCGTTTATTATTTTTAAGATTCTATTTTAATGTCTCTATTTACTGTGTTTATTTTGTTTCCTCATTCTGAAAGTGAACTACTTCAGCACACTTAAAAAAAAATACATTTTCTTTTTTTTGAGACGGAGGAGTCTCGCTCTGTGACCCAGCCTGGAGGGCAGAGGCATGATCTCAGCTCACTGCAACCTCCACCTCCTGGGTTCAAGTGATTCTCCTGCCTAAGCCTCCCGAGTAGCTGGGATTACAGGTGCATGCCACCACGCCCAGCTACTTTTTTGTATTTTCAGTAGAGACATGGTTTTGCCATGTTGGCTAGGCTGGTCTCAAACTCCTGACCTCAGGTGATCCACCCGCCTCGGCCTCCCAAAGTGCTGGGATTACAGGCATGAACCACCGCGCCCAACCAAAAAAAATACATTGTCTAAACAACATTTAAGAGTTTCCTAAAATGGTCATATATTATAATTCTCATAAAAATAAAACTGTTCTTAGGTTTTCTTAATGAAAATTTGGGACCTGGCCATGATAAAAGATACCTGTCATTCTGAATAAGATATTATGTCTAGAAAGATGAATAATAATCATGGGAAATTTAAACAACTAGTAAATCTACCTGCAAGCCTACAAAATTATCAGAAGGAAGAGAATACGGGTTAACACATTTAAATAATTTATCAGCAAAATCCAACAACTAAATATTATTATGAAAGGAAAATGTGGTTATACCTTTTATTCCACCCTTTGGACAATGATCAAATTAGTTCTTTATTTAACATAAGCAACAATGGTAAGATTTTCTGATTTATCAGGCTCTAGTCTAAATTCCATTTTTTAAAAAAGTTCCAGCCTGATGCAGTAGCTCGTGCCTATAGTTCCAGCTACTTGGGGTAGACTGAAGGGGGAGGACTACACTTCAGCCTATGCGTTAGAATCCAGCCTGGGCAATGTAGCAAGACTCCATCTCTTAAAGTTCTAATGAGTAATAAAGTTCTAATGAGTGAATATAAAATACACAAAAAAATCCTGACTTTTGCAACAACATATTTTTCCTCAAAATAAAGCAATAAAATATATTGCTGTTAAAAGTCACTGAAAGTCACTGGGGTACTACCCCAGTGCATGCTGATCAAAAGTGCACTGAAAAAATGTTAATCACTTAATATTTATAAGCTTTCTAAGCCATGATGTTAATTACCAATAAACACTGATGGCACTGATAAATTTCTTTCTACAAAGGCTTTTTCATGATCTTTTTGGTTTTGAAATGTATTCCTGACTAGAAAATACAATCGCTGTGCAAAAAAATGGGAAAAAAAAATTTTTGGAAAAAACGGTGTATTACAATCCAATTTATTCTTCATGTACATGTACACTCAATCATGTTTTTCTTCATAGTTCATATTATAGTTTGATACCTTTTTGCATAATGTAAGTTCATAAGCATTTTCCTATGTCATTAATTTTTTTCAAAGCTTTAAATGGTAACATATACATCTTAAGGATGTACCGAAATTCACTTATACCCTCTACTGCTAAATATGCTATTCTGAGTTTCTTCACTCTTCTAAACACTGAATTTATATTCTTATTTTTAAAAGTATTTGCTTACATCTGATTATTTTAGATGGCTAGATACAGGGTTCTTGACACACAGCCCAATTGCATGCATACTGCCTTACCATATGTCTAATATTCTATTTTGGATGCTATCTGCCTATACCCCTCAAAAATAACCCTTATCCTGGGCACTGCTTGAGAGCCTTGCTCAATACTGACTATACAATGTATTATGGTGTGGCAAAAAGGGCACTGGGTTAGACGTAAGGAAATGGGTTGTGATTCCAGCTTGATCACTTACCAAATATATGACCTAAGTGACTGAGTTTCTCTTCATCTGTAAAACAGAGCTAATTATACCTGCCCTACTTTCCTCTGAGAGTAGTTGTGAGGATGAAATGAAATAGTGAAAAAAGTGTAAAATGACATCTTTTGAAATTTTTTTATCCCAAGACATAGGGCAATATTAAACACACTTTGGGTTTGTAATGTCCTAAATAGAACAGTTACTGAAAATACATAGTTAATAGGTGGAAACCAGATAGCTATTCAGTTTCAACAGTCTCCTCCCTGGGAGATATTATGACAAGTCATCCACCACATCTCAATAAAAATAATGTATCATGCCATTACTTTAGGCCCCTAAAAGATGAAATTTGGAAGAAATTAACACTTCTCCAGTTTAGTACAATGTACTGATCACAATCAGTCTTAGCATATAGTTACAGCAAATATGCTGGGATATAACAATTTCACTTACATAACTAGCAACTAGAGAAAATGTGTAACGCAAATCTATTTCTCAAGTATGAAATCATGATTTTGAGCCTCCACCTGCTCCTGGGGGGGGGCGGGAAATGGAGCAAATGTAGTTTCATCAGTGATCCTCAACTCTACCCTGTGGCACACGGAATCATATATACGCTTAAAAAAACCGTTTCCCAGGCCCCATCCCCAGAGAATCTGATCTATCTGGCCTGGGGTATGGCTTTGTGCACTGGTTTCTGTTTCCAGGTGCAGAATATTGAGACACATTGGGCTAAAAATGGTAGCTAAATTCCTACTTATTAAAAAAATCATTTATTTAATAAATACTATGCACAGAGCATTGTATTAGATGAAATGTTGGACCTCACTAATGAAAATTCATCATGAGTCTTAATCTACACTTTAGTGGAAAGATATAAGCAAATGACCACAGTTCTACAGAACAGGACTTGGCTATGAATGGGTTAAAAGAAAAGAAGGGGCTGGACTCTTTGTAATCCCAGCACTTTGGGAAGCCGAGGAGGGTGGATCATGAGGTCAGGAGTTCCAGACCAGCCTGACCAACATGGTGAAATCCCATCACTACTAAAAATACAAGAATTAGTCAGGCATGGTGGCATGTGCCTGTAATCCCACCTACTTAGCAAGCTGAGGCAGGAGAATCACTTGAACCGGGAGGCAGAAGTTGCAGTGAGCCGAGATCGCGCCACTGCACTAGAGCGTGGGTGACAGAGCGAGACTCCGTTTCCAAAAAAGAAAAAAAGCCAGGCATGGTGGCTTACGCCTATAATCCCAGCACTTTGGGAGGCCCAGGCGGGCGGATCATGAGGTCAGGAGATCGAGACCATCCTGGCTAACACAGTGAAACCCCATCTCTACTAAATATACAAAAAATTAACCGGGCACGGTGGTAGACACCTGTAGTCCCAGCTACTCGGGAGGCTGAGGCAGGAGAATGGCGTGAACCCGGGAGGCAGAGCTTGCAGCGAGCAGAGATGGTGCCACTGCATTCCAGCCTGGGCGACAGAGCAAGACTCTATCTCAAAAAAAAAAAAAAAAAAGATTCTAGGAGAGAGAGAGGTCTCCCAATGAGAGAAACTCACATGAGTAAACTCATATAGCTGGCAAAGTCCTAGTGAGATCAGAGTAATGTAGAATCTAGTTTTACCACACAGTAGGATGGCCTTGTGTGTCATGTGATCATGAATACCGAGGCTATACTACTACTACTATACGGAAAGGTAGTCTAGGATCAGAGTCTTCAATTGTAGTTTAGGAAAACTATTTACAGACAAGAATAGGGGCTCTGAAATCAGGGTGCCTGAGTTTATATACCAGATTGGCCACTTATTAGCTATGTACTCTAAATAATTTACTTAAAATCTTCATGCCTTGTTTATAAAATGGAAATAAAAGTACTTACCTCACAGGCTGTTATAAAAACTCAGTGAGATAACGTGAAATGCTCAGAATAGCGCCTAACACAAAGCCTTCAATGTACAGTGGCTAGTGTTATGATTAGCAATTATCAGACAATGAAGAACCACTGAGGATTTTTTTTTTAACAGAGGTCTGACATGATCAGAACTATACTTTAAAACAGTCTCTTTGAGTCTATGGACAAAATCATACTGAAATACTGTATGAGTATGCAGGAACACCTATAACATTTTAAGGAGGGTATTAAAAAAAAGAGAGAGAGCGAGCCAGCATTCACATTCCCAGTCTCTGTCTATGTAAGCCACCTGTCTCCAGCTTCCTTTGCAATGATTCTCCAAAAAGGTAATTGATAATATCAGTGCAGATTCCTTATTTAGTAACTCTTAAGAAACTAGTCACACTACATGAGTTCTTTAAACAGCTAATATTAACAGTTTAGATAGATTTTAACTCTTTCCGTAGAAATATTTCTGCCATCTTAAGTATACAGAATATAATTTAACCTATTTTGATAACTAAAAATCCTTATGAATATCTGTACGATGCTTCACATACAGATGTGAGCTACGTAGTCAACCCTATCTGAACTTAAAACATTTCCTACTTTTACCTTTATTATGAAATTCAGAAGTTGCACTACACATGTATCTCTCTTCAGAGCTATCCTTTGTGCATGAACAGTGCCGTTCTTGGGGTCCGCAGAAGCACAGCTGCACTCTATGTTGTCTTCCCCCTCCCTCTGCAGAGTTCTTTGGTTTCCTCATTCTTCCCAACTAGAACTTTTTTCTTCCCTACAGCAGGTCCTGCAGTTTCCAACATTCACCAAGTATAGTACACTAATGTCTCTTTGCAACTTCTATCATTTCTTCAGCACTTTGTCTTAGTTATCAACCACCATCCCAAAACTCCTTAAATGAAGTTGGAAAAAAACATTATTTTAATTTCAAAACAGAGCTACCTATAAATAACCAAAGGAACCAAATAAATATTTACTGAATATAAGTTCTACGTGTTCACACCTCTCATTGCTCAAGGCTATCAGAAGTTTGGTCCTGAGAAAACTGAAGTTCTGCTATTGTAAAAGTACCATACAGTAAGAGACGCTACATTTCAAGACAACAGACTTCGGTTTCATTCTTACTAGCTGTGTAACCGGGGACAGGTCACTCAATCTCAGACTTACAGTCCCTCTACTTACCTCACAGGGCTATTCTGAGAATTCAATACATGAAAACAAAATTCAAAACCATATACAAATGGAAGTTTTCTGTCTCTTCTGTCTATTCTCAACTATTTTGGAGAAAGAAAGCAAGGTCTCCAATACAGTAAAGGAATACCAGAAAAGTCCTTACATTTTTTACTCCCCTACATACATTATACCAATTACATACTCATTTTGATAAACAAGCTCCTCTTTCAAATATCTCCTGGTAGAGCTAACCCTATTGTTCATTCATGCTTTTGTATACTGCTTTGGTATCAGATTCAACACAGCTTGCCTTGTAGTTTAGTTAACTCTGCACATGTCTTCCCTTCACTACATCAGTGATTCTCAGTAAAATTTTCCAGAAGTTGTACTCTGAAATGTCATGTTCAGTATTACAAATTTTACTTTCTTGGAAGGCCCCATTGCTTTTGGTATGCAAACTACCAGAAGCAAATATCCACAAAATCTTAAGACAAGAGAGAAAGAGAGAACTAGAAAAAGCTAAGTCTCAATGAATGAAGAAGGAAACTAGGTTTTACAAAATGCCTACCTACACAGCACTTCCATGTACTTCATCTAATTTTATTTTAAACTCACAACAACTCTGTGAATAAAGTGTTATTATGGATGAAGAAAACAGGACTATGATGACTAAATGGGACCATTTTCTTTTTGAAGGAGAGAGCTGAAAGGAAAAAAAGACAAAAGGTATAGGCCAGCATGGGTTACTTCCTGCTTTCAAGTGGCTATTATGCCCTGAATCCTTACCTTTCCATCATCATTATGGAATTCACAGCAGGATCTTCTATATGCTCTCCCCTAATCCTGAAGGATTTCCATACCCAGTCCAGACCATATGCTCAAATTGTTCTCAAAGAGTGGTTGAAGAAAAGGTAATTTGCAATTAATTTCTATCTCTGAAACTGAGGTATTTTAAATGGATTACATAATTACATGCTAAAACAAGCCTCCATAACAAAGTATATTAAATGCAACTTCCTATACCAAAAGCATCTCAGAGGCCTTAATGCTATTCTTTTAAAGTATTTTCAACAAAACTTCAAACCAAAGATTTCACAGATATTTGTCTACAACTCTAGTTTGCCACTGGGCTAAGAAAAAAGATAAAACAACAAAAACCCTTAGTGGATTGGTTTTGGTCACTTAACATTTTCATGGCCCTCAACAATTAAATCTCTAGGCCTGTTTTCTTTTTTGGACCCGTTTTTTTATTCGTAAATAAGACTAATGACCAGGCTCAATGGCTCAGGCCTGCAATGCCAGCACTTTGGGAGGCTGAGACAGGAAGATCACTTGAGCCCGGAGTTCAAGACTAATCTGGGCAACACAGCAAGACCCCATCTCTAAAAAGTTATTAAAAATAAGTAAAAACAAAAAAAATGGGACTAGTACCTATCTACCTATCAGAATTGTAGGTATAAAAGATACTACATCCCACAGACACTGCCCAATCCACATCTATACAAATTCTTAGTAATTTCATGCTCATTCAACATGAAATGCTATATTGATCAAGACAATAGAAAACCCACTAATAGCACAAGCAGTCATCCACAAACTGTTTTAGGAGTACTGTCAATTCAAATAAGTATTTAAGATGAGTCATATAATAAAACTTGACATCATCTAGAAGTTCTTATGAAACTTGTTTTCCTAAACTTGATTGTACTCCTAAACATTTTTACATTATCTATAAAAACTTGTGGAAAAAGCTTTTTTAAGCTGTTTAATAACTTTTAAAAACTCAATGAACCACATTACGGAGAAAATTATTTTTCTAGTTTCTCTATAGAAAATGATAGTAGAAATTATGAAGCACCAAAGTAAATGCTGATCAGTGTATGAAAAATGTGAATGTTACTGACATCAGGAAGTTATTAAGAATATTAGAGTATGCCATTTTTCCCTGAATTTTGTGATAAGCAGGTATCTGACAGCTTTTTTTAAAAATTCATTGTGATTCATTTTTCTATTCCAAGTAAATACTCACTTTCATACTTAACAGACATAAAATTCCTGGCATTGACTTTTTTTTTTTTTTTTTTGAGAGTAAGTCTTGTTCTGATGCCCAGGCTGGAGTACAGTGGCCTGATCTTGTCTCACTGCAACCTCTGACTCCCGGGTTCAAGCGATTCTCTTGTCTCAGCCTCCCAAGTAGCTGGGACTACAGGTGCGCGCCACCATGCCCAGCTAACTGTTATATTTTTAATACAATTTCACCATGTTGGCAAGGCTGGTCTCGAACTCCTGACCTCAGGTGATCCACCCGCCTCAGCCTCTCAAAGCGCTGGGACAGGCGTGAGACACCGCGCCAGGACAGTAACTTCTAACGAATAATGTATGCGGGGGGGTGGAGAGGGGAGTACCAGTATTTTTATTTCAAACACATATACAAAACACCAGCTTGCAATTCATCAGGAAGAACCTTCAGCGCAGAGCAGTTTAGTAAGTCCATGCCATCATGCCGCATGCCTTCTTCACTGGGCATTTCGATTAGTGAGGAAAGAATCCAAGGAAGTTAAAATATAATGGGCCGGGCGCGGTGGCTCACATCTGTAATCCGAGCAATTTGGGAGGTCGAAGCGGGCAGATCACGAGGTCAGGAGACTGAGACCACCCTGCCCAATGTGGTGAAACCCCGTCTCTACTAAAAATACAAAAAAATTAGTTGGGCGTGGTGGTGCGCACCTGTAGACCCGAGGCTGAGGCAAGAGAACCGCCTGAACCCAGGAGGCAGAGGTTGCAGTGAGCTGAGATCGCACCCCTGCACTCCAGCCTGGCGACAGAGAAAGACTCCCTCTCAAAAAAAAAAAAAAAAATATATATATATATATATATAATATATGTATATATTATATATTTCTTATATATACACATATATATAGTGAAGGAAACAACTCTTACAGTGACGGTATCATATTTGAAGTCTGAGAGGTATGCCCTGTTAAACACACAGGATAGCAGAGACATGTAGGTAGGCAATCCTGGAAGAATGTACCCTTTTAACTAGGGTATGTAGTTAGGAGTTTCAGAAGAAAGAGGAAAGGTTTTCGAGACAGAAAACCTAAGTGGGTTTACGAAACTAAGATGAAACTAGAAAGTGAAATCAAAACTTCACTCTATAATTTATCCGTCGAGTTAGCACAAACAATATTTTGTTTTAAAGTGGTTAAATGGTTCCTCAAAAGTATAACATAACCCAAAAACTTTAAGGAGTGGATTTCTCAGTGTAATTCAAATTTCCTTGAAACTTTGTCAACTACTGTCTACCTAGCAATAACTGAGTTTAACCAAGGAAACTGAACAGAAGACCGACTCTACCACTCATTTATTTGCAAGATAAAATAACAACAAAAAAACTACAAGACATACATTGCAGATTTAGATCACTGTTAAATAATCAGAAAAGTATTTGCAAATGTTAAAATTATTCTAATTCTCAAAAAGTACCTTTAATTTCAAAACCACTATTACGAGTGGTTATGGCTATTTAGAGTGAAGTAGTATTAATAAATCTAAAGCCTCCATCCGAGCTGTTAGTAGGACTCCATCGCTTCCCAGGATGTATAACTCCTTTTCTAAGCCTCCTCTCGTCCTGGCATCATTGGCAACGTGAGCCAGAAACAGAACAAACAGAAAACTTGAGTAGTACCTCGCTGTCAGTGCTCCTTCTAAAAACGACAATAGCTGGTAACTCCCTAAGTATGAACTCTGGAGTGCAGAGTGCACAGCGGAGAGTGAAATACCCTAGACAGCACGCAGCATTTAAAGCTACAAAAACCTGGCTGTTGACTTCGCCTGGCTTGTTTTGTTTTGTTTCAATCAGCCTGCGGCGGCAGCATAGGTTGAAAGGCGGAGGCTGGAATCGCCTGCCAAGCCTCCTCTTTGGGTCACACAGAGCAGCGCCTCTCGGTTCACGCCAAGTCCATCCCCCACCCTCTTTCGCCATTCATCGCGTTCCCCTCCCTTCCCCCCATCATGTGACCACAGCCCGGACTCCGGGCTTGTTTTTCCCCTCGGCTCTGCCCCAGCGCGCAGGCGCCTGGGAGCCCATTCATTCGAACTGCGTAACAATGAGCCCCGGGGCCCAGCGGCTCCGCGAGCTCCCCGGCTCGGCAGGAGCCCCCTTCGGTCCAGAAGGAGGCGGCGCCTCACTGCGGTCCCCCACCTCAGGCCGGCCCCCCACCACTGGCCAAGCTCCGACCCTCCGCCCACAAGCGGGGAGTTGAAGTCAAACTTTCCTGGGCAGCCCCGGCGCCGCGTCGGCCCCTTCCCCCGCCCTGGCCCGCCCCATCTCCACACCCGGCCCGGCCACCCACCGCGCGACCCGACCCCGAGCGTCGCCCTCCCGCTGCCTCCTCCCGGCTCCCGCCCGAGACCCCCTAGCGCCGCCGTCCCGAAGCCCAGGTGAGGTGAGCTCGCGGGAGACGCTGGTCCGGTGGGCTCGCCGCGGACACCAATCGAACGGTTAACTGCCCCCACTCCAAGGGCGACCCTCCGAGGAAGAAGAACCAGGACCCGAGCCCTTCCGGCTGCCCGATCCCCCGCGCTCCTGCCCCTCCCTTCCCCACCCCCACCTCTTCCCGAACTGAAAGACAACAAACCTGCCGCGAAGTGCCGGCAGCCCAGGCGCGGGCCGCCCCGGCCACGACAACACCACCAGCAGCTCTCGTACCCCCTCTCCGACCTACGTCGGCCTCCCCCGCGCGGGTTACTCCTCCCGCTGCCGCTCTTACTCCTCAACCGAAACTTTCCTACTTACCAAACCCGTCGCCATTACCAAGTCTTTCAAGCTTCGTCTTCCCCCTCCCCTCAACCCCCTAGGGGTTGAGCACCCGCCCAGCTCTTTCGCCCTCTTATTGGACTGCAGAACTGCCATTCGGTTGTTCCCCTTTCCCATTGGGTGGTACCGTGGTCCGTCTCGGGGGGCGGGCATGTATTGACTTTTGTGTTGTGTTTACTGGAGAAGACGGCGTGTCAATCACAAGAGTAAGTGCTTTGGATTGGACTACTGCCGAGAGTCCGGGGACCCGAGCCAAACTTTGTCCCCGAAATGGATTGTGGGTTCGTAGTCTC